GGAGCCTCTAAAGTTGGATATTGTTATTAGCTTTCCAGATCATGGATTCCATCTTCGTTTTGATCCTTGGTCACAGGTGTGTTTTCTCATTTGATATGTGTTGTTGAGTGACCAATTGAATGTTAGCAATATTTTGGTTGTCATTGCAAACTGTGGAAAAGCATTTATATAGCTATTCAGTTTGATACATTTTCTACCATTATTTACTTGATATAATCTCATTGATCCCCATGTCTTGGTTGCCCTTGTCCTTAATTGGGGATTGCTAAATATTAAGGATGAACAGTAGTCTGGGAAATGTCAGAATCAACAAATGAAATATTGTTATAACCTCAGTTAGTTGAGATGAATTATAGAAGACATCCAGCAGATATAAATCATCATTAATTTGTACAGAGACTATTTAAGACATGAGACATCATCTAATATGTACAGTGGAATGTTAGAATACCTTTTCTAATATTTGCAATTCATCCCTAAGTCATTCATTAAATTTATTACATTTATTTGTATGTCTTTAGATTTTAAAGACTAATATACATTCCTATTCTCCCCGTCCTCTCTCAATGGCGATGGTGGTGCTTTAAGAGAAGAAAGCTTGCTGATGCATTAACAGTAATGTTTATGAAGGTCATGCAGGGACATGATGATGATCATGGGAATCGAGGACTCTGTTGGGAGTCATGATGTTGATGGTTGAGTGGTAGAGATGGTGGCAAGTTAATGTGATGATGGTGGACTAATTGTAATGTTGGTGATTGGTAGTGGTGTTGTCAGTTCAAGAGGAGAGTGGCATAAGATGGAGGTTGTAATGGCATGACCAGAATGATGAAGTTGGTGAAGAGGAGAGAAAGCAAGCAAGGTTTTTTCCAGAAAATATAAATGAGTCACAAAATAGAATATCAGCACAATCTATGACTTTGTTGATGGTTACATGGTTTTCAGGTTGCAACACCATCTAAAGCAGATGGTTTTGGATGGTAGAATTTTTGCCTCTGTAATGACTTGGTCTCTTTTTGTTAATTTGTTATTTATTCTGATTAATGGCTTCATTTTTATGAATGTATAATTTGTTTTGACTTCATCAAAATTTTAATTTTGATTGTTGTGCAGAGACTTCGTCTTATTGAGGTTTATGATGTCAAACGGTTACAGATGCAATATGCAACCAATTTGATTGGGTCTGTTATTATTTTCACTTCCTTTTAATATCTTTTTCTGTAAAAATCTTATCAATCTTCTTCTCTATTTTAGTGGCCCTTCTATGCTAGCTACTTTTCAAGCAGTATACACATGTTTTGGACCTACGTATCCTGGAACTTATGACAAAGATAGAGGAACTTACACACTATTTTATCCGGTACATCTGGTGTCTATATTTGTCTTTTTATACTTCTGTCATTTTTATTCTATCTTGGCTTACAGGAAAATATTGCTGTCAGGGTTTGTCCTTTGCTTTTCCCATTCCAAGCCAATATGCATATTGCTGCCGAAATGTGGAAGGTATTCATGTCCAGTTACTTTCGCAGGTGCTGTCTGGTCATTCTCTCATTATTATTAAGACTTTTTGACTAACACAACTCATTTTTCTTTCCATTGTGGCAATCACAGCAGAGCTGCCTCTTGAGTTTCCTGATGGAACAACCCCAGTGACATCCCGTGTCTGTGTATATGATGGTTCTTCAGACAGCAAGGTTGGCGTAGGATCAATTTTAAACAAAGCTACAGTACCTCCATTGCCTGCTGGCAGCCTATACATGGAAGAAGTGCATGCTAAGGTTACAATCTTCTAGTCTGTCATTTTTGTGTTTGATGTTCTTACTTGTTTTGCTGCTACCTGACACTTCAAGAACCATTCACTGACACTACAAGAACCATATATGCTTTCTTGCTTAATATTACTACTATATATTTAGTCCACCACTGCTGATGAGAATCATAAATTTCATTGTTAAATATGCAGCTTGTGAGATGCAGCAATTTTTATACTTTACCAACTTATATTGTTGCCTTGAGACTGAGGATTCTTTCATCTTTTGCTCCTTGTCTGCAGCTCAGAGAAGAACTATGGTTCACAGTTGGAAATGAGCATATTCCTTTTGGTGCATCTCCACAGGCAAGTTTAATTTCTTCTCTTGATGTTTGAGGTGTACTTCCCTAAATTACTCTTCGGTAATTCTGGTGAAACAAAACTTTTAGTGGACACAATCTCTGTGATGAAGTACTCATAGCTGCTATACTTTTTTTCGTTATTTTTATCATCATATATGGTTATGGCTTCCTGTCATTCATTATATTTCCTCACATTGGCTTTATTGAATAAGCAAGATTTATATCACATTCTTCCTTTTTTTTATAAAAGGAAATTGTATCAGCATATTCTTATGTCACATTTTCACAATTGCCATTCGTCAACTTGTCTCAGCATCTCCCACAACATATGTTATAAGTTCTCTTGCAGTCATTGTAATCCTACCTCATTGCTGAATCTTGCAGAAGTTACATGCTAAACCTACATATTCTCATCAAGTATTCTCTCAAAGTTCATGCAAAGTTTTGCTATTTTATGAGCATGATAACATTTTCTTTTCCTCGATACTTGTATTATTTTTTCTTGAGGCAGTACTATGACAAAGATGTTTCCATCACTCAGAAATCTTGATGTTTTGTAGGATGTCTGGACTTTATTAGGTACTCCTTGTGGAATCCATCAAAAGCAGGTCAGTACTTGTGTGGTTTGGATTATGCTTTGTTTAAGATCTTTCAATCAGTAATATAGCGATTCTTGTTTGTCATATATTGAGGAAAATTTACTGCTGAGAAAATATTGCTGTAGTTTGTATGTGTGTTTTAGCTCTCTGTTGCATTAGGATTAGACCTAAACTCTAGCTCACTGTTACTTGGGCAGAGGGTTGTTTGGAATTATGAACATGCAACTACTAATTGCCCAAAAAGACTTTTGGATAAACAGGTTTAACCAACAAATGTGGGTGTCAGCGCCCATAATATACATCTTTTGTGTTGGATCCATGCACTGTGATGGATCCAATTTATAATGTCCTAACTCTTGTCTCGCTGTTCAGACATAACGTTGAAAGAGAGAGGGACAAGGTCATCTTCACGAGAAAAAATTATTTCCCTTTTCATATGATCAACAATGCTGTCTTTTCTTTCAGCTGGACAGCTCTTATAAATACTGATTATTATTATCTATCTCCAAATAAAATATTGGATCCACACTGGCATGCTTAGAGAAGGTAGGGAGGCAAGGTTGAGCATATAGATGCCTACAGTGGTATTAGATGATGAACAAACCATAAGACAAATAACATAGTGAGTTTATATCTTTGTTGACTAGAAACTCATTAGAAGGTTTGATTTTCTGTTAAGTTTCAGGCAGCATAGAAAATTGCAGTCAGTGTACACCCTGATTAAGTTGTGAATTTTCTTTCACATTATAGGTTGATCAGATGATGATCCACTCAGCTTCAGACCCTCGTCCACGTACCACTCGTTGTGGTGATTACTTCTACAATTACTTCACTCGTGGTCTGGACATATTATTTGATGGACAGGTGTCCTTTTTTACATATAGTTTTAATTTTCTTTCAAGTGAAAAGGCAAATTAATCATTTCAAATAAGACATCATAATCATCTTTATATGACCATAGTTCCTGTGTGTCAACATGCAGACTCATAAAATCAAGAAGTTTGTTTTACATACAAATTTCCCTGGGCATTCAGACTTCAATTCTTATGTGAAATGCAACTTTGTTATCTATGATGCCGATGGTAAGTATTTATACGTTTTCAGTATTAGAGGTGACTAATTGTATTTTATTTAACTCATGAGATTTGGGTTTGTAGTAGAAGGTATAATACAGCCTGGCAGCACAACAAAAAATTGTATTACGCCTAGCACAAAGTGGGAACAAGTAAAGGTAATGTATCTAATAGATTTGCAGGTAACAGGCTAATGCTTTCAAGTAGCTGAAATATAAATTTATATTAGCCTAGTAAAATATTCATTATTGTTTAGTTAGTATACTTGATTTTCTTAGTTTCCAATTTTTCCACTGTCATCATGAAGCTAGTTTTTCTCCTAAGTTCCTTTTAGTTTTCTTTCCAATAACTGCAAAAGATTTTGTTGTATCTGGTGGCATTTCCTGGTTGCATGTGATGATTATTTGTTGCAGTGTCATGCCTTTCAGAAAAAAAAAATGTAAAGCTGGTCAATTGGAAAATAAGTGACCTGTAGTGTGGTTGGACAGGCACTCTAGGACCAATGGTGTGTGTGGTTTTACATGAAATCAAATGGAAGTAGTTTTACAGGAACCACTTAGAAGTGAATAGCTTAAATCAGTTCAATTGTACATACCCTTGTCTATTCTCCATGTTTTAAAACTATAATGTACTATGTCATTGGTAACATTGTTGGTACCAAACTGAAATGTGAAGTGAGAAGTGGATGTTTAATTTAGTGGGCTACAAGTCATAAGAAGAGACCATTTGGAGTTGAAACTTGATATGATCTTCATTATCACATTTTTTTAATAAAAATCATTATCACATGTTATATGGTCATAGTTGAGAAATTTGTAACGAGATCAGGGATTTTTAGTGAAAATCATTCTATCTTCACCGTTATATGTATTTCTCTGGTACACAATCTATTACTGATGCAAGACCAAGACAATTATAATTGGATATTTTGTCATACAGGAGATTCTTGGAGATTGTGGTCCGGCTGTAATCCAGACACCAGGTGCGACGAACAGTCCTTTTGGATCAACATTTGTCTATGGGTACCAAAATGTGGCCTTTGAGGTGAGAACCTGTATTTTGATACAGTTTCCTTTATATGTCAAACTTTTAAATGCGTTGTGTTTTACATATATGATATTTCTTGTGAACTAAATTAATTAATTGTCATCGTTGGACCAGGTTATGAAAAATGGTTATATAGCTACTGTTACTCTCTTCCGATCCCAAGGTATGTCTACATGGGTTTGATTGACCATGAATTTTTTGGTGTCAAAATAAGTTTATGTTATTCTTCTACTGGAATTAAGTTGGGCTTTCGGTCTTGTGTGAAAAAGCTGCATCTATTGTTGTACTTCTATAACATTGACTTCTGTCTGTTAAGTTTGTGTTAGAATGTGCTTCCCTTATTCTTTTCCACTATCAGATAGGTTATGTTCTGGGAACCATATATTTTTGCCACTCGTGAGTGTTAGGATCAGATTTCCATGGTCCAATGGTAAATTTTGTTCTTTCTTCTTCTAAAGGAAAAGAAAGTTTCCACAGGGCTACATTTTGTCAGTGAAGTTCTTAGAGCTAAATCTATTCTTTAGGCACACAGACTGGGCCTCAAGAATAAACTTGAGAAGAATATCCGTTAGGCACACAGATTGGGCCTTGAGAACAAGCTTGAGAAGAATTTATCTTATTTTAGAGTAAAAAACCTTTTTGATAATCTGAAAAAATGTTTAAGCAGTCAAATAGGCTTCATTCTTAAAGCAGTGAAGCAAAGATAAGTTTATGTAAACCACATTGACCTGCTGCAACTCATCGAAGACACTGAGGATATTGAATATGACACCATTGTAAGACTCTTGGAACTGGTCTCGTCCCAAGGCATGCCCTTCCTCAGGCTGAAGATACTATGACAGACATTGTCAACAAAACTTTGAATTTAAAGACACCCTGATTAGGGAAGAGGTAGGAGCGATATACAAGAGTCTGCAGTGGCAAAAAAGGAACATGTTATGTTATATTATCATCAGTGAAGGCATTGTCCACATACAGGAAAATAGTAGTGAATCTTTTGCATTTCCCCGGTTCATTGAATCAGGAAAATGCTTGGTTCTATGATCTCCTTTTTTAACATGATTTTTATCTAAATATATTTCCCTTTCATTGATCAAATTTACTAGGGAGGATTTCTGTTGTAGGCTTTGTGTGTTTGTGTGTTTTGTTCATTTACAATTCATACGATACACAAATTGAAAATCTGAAGAACTCAGATTTTCACAAGCACTCTGACTCTCGACTGTTGTTTCCCTTGATTGTTTTCGCTGGATGTAGCCTTTTTCTTTAAAGTACTATGTAATCGTTACAGATCTGTACGTAAAATCACCACAAATTAGTAAGCACCGAACTATCTTAGAATGACACCCTTAATATCAACCTTTTGTGTCTTGTCTTTCTAATCTGTGCTAGTTGTAGTCATCACAAAGAAATCAGAGCTGGATGGCAATGTTAACTTGAATCGGTGAACTATGTTGAAAGGTATGCCAACATATGATCGGCTGTTGGCCTAAACTTCAAGGTTACCAAAGGTTGTCATTTTAGCCAACAGTTTGTGTACTGTTTAATCTAATGCATCTGAACTGCTGCAGCCTACACTACTAATATTCCTTGAGTAACACTTTTGCTCGCATTTGCTTGCACATCCATGCAACCAAGCCAGACTTGGTGCAACCTCTGGATCACATTTTTGTACTTACAATTACATTTTGTTCTTATTGGACTTTAGTATATTGTTTTTGTTGTCATAATGATGTAAAGTTTAGCTCCCTACTGATGCAAAGATCAAAATGATGGTGCATAAACCAAATAGCTTTCTTAAACTTTTAGCTTCATTTTATTCATTTTGATTATTGCACATGGTTTTAAATGCTGTAATATATTAAATATTCTCAATGTTTTGTTCATACAGGATAGTTTGGGCTTCTGGTGGTGTTGGATGTAAATGAATGCTGCTCACATCATCCATAATTGTCTATAGTATTGCATAGACATTATATCTTGTTATTTGATACTAATCATCTACAATTTGTATGATGTTGTAAATAACTTCATTCTAGTGGATTAATGATGTCAAAAGAAAAATATTTGGTTAACAGCTGCGCAATTGATGTTAATAATTGGATATTACTATTTACAATCATATTTTAAAAAAATTAACATCTCAAAATTATCCTTTCGTAAATGGACATAAATACTCTTTTTCTTTCTTATCTTTGTCTTCCTCTTTTATTTTTTGTTCTCTCCCTCTTCTTTCTCTTTTTCCTTTCTCATCCTCTAATTTTCCATGCTCTTCCTCCTCCAAGGATAATATCTAAATGATCAACGATAGCGATAGGGAGCATGGACAAAAGGATAACAATTAGTCGTAAGCACACGTAGGGAGGATGATGATTGACGAAGAGTGCAAACACAGGATGATGATCGATGGGGAGCACAAGTTCGGTAGAACGAAAGAGAGCATGGGTTGGGTCGTAATAGCGACAAGTAACGATCGTCGAGGAGCGTGAGTTGGAGGGTAGTAATCGGCGGTGACGATCAATACCAAAAAAAAAAATGCATGCAAAATAAAAGGAAGGGAAAATAAAATAAAATTAGAGTTAGAGGGGTTATAAATAATAAAATATAATTTTTTTAATATTTAAAAATAGTATAAATAGTATTAAAAAAAAAAAGGGCTTAAGATCCTAGTAATTTAGCTTTCTAATATGGTTCAATTCTTAAAGATTTGTCCCACCATCTACCATAACATGATTCTGATGCTGTGATCGTCCATTGGTGGTTAGCCATTGACCATTTGCCATGTAGTTACGCAAACTCTCAAGCTTGTTATAGCAGAGACAGGTAATCCCCACCCAAATCCAAGGTTCTCTCTCGAGCTCATCCATGACATAAGCCAAGCCATCGATGGACCACCCCATGTGCACGATTTCTTACACTTGGCTGCACGGCACCCAACTAAGTAGCCCAATATTTTATCATGACATAATACCAAGCTTTGGAGATGATGATGATGATGATGATGATGATGGTGATGACAATGACAATGACCCAAAAGGATGTGCCAAAAGGAGGATGCCATTAACGTAAAACATTGTTGACTAAGCTTATCAACTTACAAAGGCAATTAAATATTTATGATTGTGGAAGATAATATTTATTTGATTAGCGAATGACAATTTAGGAGGTACAATGATTAGGCAGAAAGTGATCGAGACTCATTGAGTTCCAAGTCCATTAGGTGTCATGAAATCATTTGCCTACTGTTGCAAGCACGCACCGGCAAATTAATAGATCGTCCTAATTGTTGAAAGTATTTGTTATTGAATACCTTTCTTGCTTGATCCAACATATTTATATTCATATAAAATAAAACCATACATATGTATCTGAAAGAAATTTGTGTCCAGCTTTGACCCTTCATATGCCGAAAAGTACATGCAATTATCAACCATCAACATACAACGACAGAGGCTCTACATGTGCTTCACATTTCTCATTTCCCAATCAATCATGTGGTACCTTAGTATCCATCTGAGTTTGACCCGTAAACCTAAAAAGTCTTTGCATCTAATTTCAAATCTATCTTATGATACTAATATTTCAAATCAATCGGAACTCAGATACATATATCATATCCATTATCTTTGTAGGAGGTTTAAAGAAGAATATTTTTTAAAATATTTTATCAAAAATAATTGAAGAAAATAATAGAAGATAAGAACAATTATTGAAGAAGCTTTATTGAAGAAATGAAAATGCTTCAATACATTAACATATTCCCGAGAAAGGATTTCCCTCAATAGAAAGATTTTCTCATATAGTTGAGGAAATCTTATATTCTATCAATAATTTTAACACTATTATGATGCTTTTATTATGAAATATTTCTAACACTATTATTACGAAATATTTCATAATAATAATTCATCGGAAATAATTCTAACACTATTTTTTTAAATATTTCATCAGAAATAATTCTAACACTATTATGACACTAATATTTCAAATCAATCGAAACTCGATAATATTCTTTATACAAATTCAATTCGAAGATATTTAGGAAGTGGATCTTTCATGATGTAAATGGATGATTAAACTAAGACTTTTCATATTTTTAGGATGATTATTTTTTTTCTAATATTCATAAAAAAAATAAATGCAAAAATTTACTGATGCATAAAGAAAATGAATGAATTAGCAACTACTAGTCATTTATTCACAAGCAATCAATCACTCATAGTGATGTTGACTTTCCAGAAAGCTTTACATCTCACCCGTGACATGAAGCATCCAAATCCATAGTGCTTGCTCTCAAGAAGAGCAACACATGGGACATGATACGTGATCGAAGTGAATGGAGTATTCCGTACTGTCTTGCCGACTAAGTTAAAGCAAGAGTAGGCGAGCATGAGCACAACACGCCAAGCTGTGTCTTTTCCCCATGCTTGGGTGGGTCCAACGTGAGTTGTTTCCTATCACTAGTATCCAGCAGTTGCTGCACTAAATGCAAGAAAAATATCAGGATGCAAAAGGTAGAAGACAATGAAAGATTTGCAGAGTGGAAGGATGAGCCAATCATGATTACGATTTCAATGTCCCAATTGGTTCTCAGTTAGTCCATTTTGTGCACTGTACTTTGCTTGGTATTCATTCTTGTGCACACATAGGCCACCATGGGTGCTGTTACACATAATAGAGTGCACAAATATTACTTGTTCAAAGGCATCACCTCAACCCAAAAGCATGAGAGTGAGTGAGAAAGTAATGGGAACTATTATTATATGTCCAAGGTCTGATGTGTATCATCATACGCCAAAAAATCTTCTTTCCAAAGAGGTACGATGCGAAACTATTATATCTCTCGGGTTTAATATTGACGGTTGAAACATAGATTTAAGTCAAATAACAATAGTTCTTTTTTAGGTGATACTATTTCCGATTTGATGTTTGAAACTGATTTATTATAGTTATGATTGATAATAGTTAAGATAATTACACGACGAAATATCGTAGTTTTGTTAAGAAAAAATCTCGGAGCTACGATATTCTTCGTTTCATTTCTATCATGATATCCGAGCTACGATATTTTCCGAGCTTACTCACACATCATGCAATGGGAATTCACTGTGTCAGCTGAATGCTTTCATGTTTCTCGGAGAGAAGGAACGATCATGTCACAGTAGCACCTGTCAAGAAGATTTTGGACATCAATGCACGTAAAAATAGGCCTGCAGGCATCTGAGACATGTCTCCTCCCATGTTCCCCTTCATCTACGTGACCTTACCTGAAACCTATGAGTTTGGGAACTCGTTACGTGATTCCTTACAGATGCAAACACCTCCCCAGCTCGCAAGAGGCCAACCCCCCCCCCCCCCCATTGCTCTTATTCGGACGACCAGTCTCTCTTCCAGTCTTCTCTCTCAGAGTACGATTCTTGTTGCAGTCTCGATAGAGTAATCAAAAGGAGCTTTCTGTGGTGCTGAAGTGCGTCCCACTTCAGCCGCAGATGGTGGTTTCCAGTCTCCCGATAACAGCATTTGGGAGTTCCTCTTATCGTATCTTTGTTCCATGTGGCGCACAGCAGAGCGGAAGACAGAGAATCCACATGCTCTGATGCTGTGGAGGCAAGACAAAGGAGGATGGCAAATCGGACGAAGCTGGAAGGAGGCAAATGGCTGCCCACTCTTGGCTGTGTCTAATAAACTACTCCATTATTGGGCAGCTCAATCAGGGAGCACGTTGGAAGAGGATAAGGTGGGCTTCGAGCCATTGTGTGTGGGGCTGTGCCAGATTGCTTCCTCTTGTCTCGACCCATCTCCAGCTCATTAGATCTTAGAGGAAGGATAAATGGAGCTATAAAAGAGTAGGAATTGGTAATTCTTGTGAGGGACTGCAGCATCACAGTCAACAAACTGTTCCTTGTTTCAGTCAGTGGAACAGAGTCGAACATGCGTTAATCTCCGAGGAGTAATGTTTCGTTTATCAGATACGGCCATTATCTTGGATACTGAGGATCTTTGGTAGATTAGGATGAGTATTTATGTGAGGGAAAGCGAAGCCTCCATCTCAATAGCATAGATTCCATCTTCCCCTGCCCCTGTGTACTTCTTTGGCTCGTCGGCTTCTACCGGGAAGAACTCGGTTCTAAGCTCCGTTCTCTTCCTCCTCGCTCGCTGCCTTGGAAGCGTGAAGTGCGCGATGAGAATACTGTGCGACGTGTGCGGCGAAGAGGAGGCCTCGGTGTTCTGCTGCGCCGACGAGGCCGCCCTCTGCGGCGCCTGCGATCGGCGGGTGCACAGGGCGAACAAGGTCGCCGGAAAGCACCGCCGCCTCTCGCTCTCCGACTCCTCCGCGCAGTCGCGCCCCGCCTGTGACATCTGCCAGGTTCGTCGCTCGCTTTGGCGAATTATGGAGATCGAAGGTTCGATTTTTGGGGCGGGGGATTGATCTTTTTGGGTGGTGGGTGTTGCAGGAGAAGCGGGGGTACTTGTTCTGCCACGAGGACCGGGCGATTCTTTGCAGGGACTGCGACGCTTCCGTCCACAGCGCCAGCCATCTCACCATGAAGCACAACCGGTTCCTTCTCACTGGCGCCCGCCTCTCCGCCGCTCCCATCCCCTGCTCTCCCTCCCCTGAGTCGGAGGAGGCGGCGGATAAGGCTACCACCAAGAACACCGTCACCACGGCCGATCAAACCAAGGCCTCGGTCGCAGACGGCTCCTCCCCCATCGCTTCCACCAGCGCCGCCACCCCGACCACTGCCACCAGCAGCATCTCGGAATACCTAATCAACATGTGCCCGGGCTGGCGCGTCGAGGACTTGCTGGTCGACGACGCGGCCGTCGTCGCGATGGAAGATTTCTCCAAGGTCCGTCGGCACCCGTCCTCCCTCTGTCTCCTGATCTCCAACCTATCTCTGATTAGATCACGATAAAGATTGGATCTTTCCCTCCCCCCCGACGAAGAAGATAAAGATCGAACTTTCGTTGCGCAGGGAGACGATCTGCCGCCGTTCCTGGGGGCCGATCTGGAAGCGGTTGCGGAGAAGTTCCCCGTCTGGGCACCACAAGTACCGCAGTTCCCTCCGCCGGCTACCCCGGCCGCCGCCACAACCACCGCACGCTACCAGCCTTGGAATACCAGCAAGGAGGCGGGCCGAGAGCGGTGGAGCGAGGACCTGTTCGCAGTGCCTCAGATCTCCCCTGCTTCTACTCCAAGCAAGAGGCCAAGGCACACTCCTTGGTACTACTGACTCAGTTAGCTCTACTACTAGCCTTCAATCTTTGTATCGAGGTTCATGCGATGGGAAGCTTGTTCTGGCTGATGCTTCAGAGCCCTTCGTTGTAAAGAACTCAGAAGCTTCAGAATCATCAAGAGTCATAGATGTTTGCTATCAACCAGTTGTTCTCTTTAATCTCTGCTCAAGGTCTTCATCTTTGATATTGTCCTTCCAATCTCCAAATTCTGATCCATTTCATGATTTGGACATGTAGAAGCGAGCGTGCGTGTGTGTGTGTGTGTGTGTCTCCAAATTCAACTCATGGGATCCAAATCGATGGAGTGTGAGGTATCAGAAACAGAAACGATCCTTATCTCTGCTTATCCACTCCCAACCCAAAAGGAAGTGCTTCAGACTGATGCAATATCTTATTCTGTGGCACTCATTTAGCTAATGCTTTCTTGAACAGTAAGCTTTGTCAGCACAGAACAAAATGTGTGGATGTCGATCTGCAATTGTGGTGGCCAAACTCTGTGTTCATCCTTTTCTCGAAGAATTTGTGCCAAATCTTTTGGAAAAGGAAAACAAAAATAAAATCACGAGAATCCACACGATATGATTGTGCATATAAAGGAGTTAAAAGAATGAGCCCAAATAGGACCATTGATTTGAACGGGCATCTAATTAGTACTAACATCACGTCGGATTGGTACTTTTAGTGACTGCATTCTCTCTATTATTCAACATCTCAGCCGTCAGTATGATCATCTGCTTTCAATATCACCCATCCGATTGGAATCGGAAGCAAGCACTCTATTTCTTTCAGTTCCCATCTCCGATACCCTTCTGTTGACTGGGGGTCGCTTTGGACCCACCAAAGTAGCGGATCTTTTCTCCAATAAGAAAGCGGGTTGGTAAAAAGCGAGTAGGAATTACATTAACTTGTTCTTTCCAAGCCCCACACCCATGCGTCCAACGAATCAACGGTCAGATTACGGCCTACGGTTCGAACAGCTCTCATCCGACGGCTATCCATTAACCTCCCCTGTGGGTATATATATCTCTCCTCTCCTGTGCGAGAGGTACAGAGCGGGAAAAGAAGCGTTCGAAGAGTTCGGTTCTGCTCCGAAGGTCGTTCGGTTCGTCGGCTGCGGCATCCCGGAAGACACTTGCCCTCCCCTCGAAATCTGTGAGCCCTCGCTTCCCTACTCCCTACGATTCCTCGTCCAAACGACCGAACGTGGTTTCGCTTTAGCGTTCCTGAAAGTGTTTTTTGGTCCGATTGACCTGATTTGGTGGTTCTTGAGGCATCTGATGGGGGTTTTGTTGCTTTCTTTTTGGTGGTAGGTGATGTTTTGCTGCTGAGGAATCATCTTAATTTGAGCCTGGACGTCTCGGAGATCTCGCTGCAGAAGCTGCTCTCGCTCGTCGCGGAAAGATTGATCGACCCTAACTGCAACGTGCAGGTTTGCATTCTTCGAAACTGGTCCCTATACGAATCTTGGTTCGGAGTTATCTCTTCGTGGACTGATTCTTTCTGTTCTTGCATTTCGAATTAGGATGATGGACATGTCAACAATCGGCAGCAGAACATATCTGAAGCAATTGATCTGCTGTCTCGGCTTGCGGCTGGGATCGATGTAAACGTGCATTTTAGGAAGTGAGTCCAGTCGTTGCTCTCGATTGCAGTTGCAGTTTACCATATGAAGTCGTAATTTCTTTATGCTATAAGCATTTCCTTTGTTCAAGCAAAATTATGGCGTACCCCTTGTTGTTTGTTGTATGTATTTATGTAGGATTAATGATTTTGAGTTCACGCAGGAATATACTATTTTCAATCTTCTTGATATTGGTCTACATCATGGTTGGATTGTCGATCCCCAGGTAACCTTATGCGATCATCTAATCCATCTTAGCTTTTGGCACTCGTTGTATCCCCTGTAGGTTTGATGGTTTGATGCCATTCCTTATGTATAAATTTGTTCTGATGATGTGCATTTGCTTACAGTCATCTTTTCATCTTCTGTTTTTTTCCTCTGAAGATATGATTTGCATAGGGTGCTTTGTATTTTTTTTTTTGTTTATCCAAGATTTTGTTGTGTTCATGTGCATTTATGATGTTGTTGCTTATATATTTCGAATTTTGACTGTATGCTTGTCCTATTTTGGTGCTAAATGACTTTGACTCATGTTCTTTAATGCGTAACCTAATTATTGGCAAATTTTAGGATGTATATGGTTTTGTTTGTTTTGATTAATGACTCACACAGTGCCATTTTTGCTGTATAGAAATAATGTTTTAGTGTGGCTGTTTCCTTATTCTTATTTCACCCAGTCATTGTTGTTACTTGATATCAAAATGTATTAACCTTTTTTGTTCTTTTACTTCATGGGGCAAGTCTCTTGTGTAACTAAACATGTTATTTTAGTTGTACTGCTTGTTTAAACAGGTTGCTCATATTTTAGGAGTTCGCTGTGTATTTTAGATAGAAAAGTACAGGTACCAGTGCTCATTTTGCTACTTTGCTTGAAGTATTTGGTGCTAATCATAATAAAAGTTCTTGAGCTGCTTCTCTGGTGCAATAGAATCATGCTGCCAAAGAAAATAGTCATTTTATTCTCTATTAATTATTTAGAGATTGGTTTTCATTTTCTCCCCATTTTGGTGCATTATATACCTACTCTCTGACTATATATCTTGATTTTATGCTATGTTAGAATTGTCTGACCATGTACTGTTTAATGAAATTGTCTAGAAGATGACCTTTTAATTTAAGCTACCTAAAAATTATATTATGTAGTTCATTTTTGTTTTATAAGCTTATTGACTTAAGTCAAACTTTTGTTTTTTGTGAAATTGAGAAGAGTATGATATAAGGCTTAACTTAAATTGGTGTCTTGAGCTAACAGAATGTGCTTTAGGTGGGCTTAAATGTAGTATCATCTACCCTGAATTCAAATTCAGTAACATTATGATGTCCACTGTTCTTATAATACTTGAGTCTCATACATTTTGAATTATAATTAACATGCTAATATAAGTATAATATAAATATATATATGTACATATATACATATATATACATATACATATACATATATATATATATATATATATATATATATATATATATATAATATATATATATACATACATACATATATATATACATACATACATATATATATACATATATACATATATATATACTCTCACTTAGTGATATGGTTTGTGATGTCTATGTTTAATAAATATGATAAATGATATCTTCATATTTTTTTGCTTTTAAGTTTGAAGTATATATTTTTCAAAAATATCATTTGCAGTATTCTACAAAATGTTAGCTAAGTATGCATAAATATTAATGTTTACTGTTAACATAGCATAACAAATTAAGGTGTGTTAGCATAACAAATTAAGTTTCATCATGATTAATATAAGATTGAATCTTATACCTCAAGGTAATCTCTTGAGCATCTCTACCTTTGTAGCTTTATCTTCTTTATCAACCTAATCTCTTTCTTTAGTTATTTTTTTAGTTTTTTCTCATATAGGCCATAGGAAATCCAACTCTAAGGAATACTAAGAAAAGAAAAACTTAATTCTTTCTTTAGGGTTTCAATTTTACATATTTTAGATAGATTTTTTCAGTTGCTTTTAAATCACTTAATTCGAGATTAATGCATAGAGCGTAAAAATCCATAAATGATTTTCACATAAAATTTACTACATAAAATTTTCATGTAAAATTTTACTTATTTATTTTACATATGCTTATATTACACAACTATTTACCGTGAAATTAAGTGACATTACATAATTTTCAAATTCTACATGTGTCGAGGATCTCAAAAACTATGAAATAATTTGTAAATGCCCTATATACATAATAACAAAGGATAAATGATTAAAGTTTTGATGCATAATGACAATGTTAGAAATAATTTTCATAGTCCACAATGACAATGTTGGAAATAATTTTCATAGTCCATAGTGACAATTATCATTACATCAACCAATAAAGTCAAAAAGCAAAACCTTTAGCCATTTACATCATATAGCTCTTTCTAACCATTCGATCTCAAGAGAAGAAAAAACTTTCTTTTTTTTTTTCGAATGGTTATTTGCCACAGACGTGTCCACGTTCTAAATGAGCTTTGTATGCAGGTTATGCCAAGTTCATCTGGTCAGGGGTCATTGACACATGCAGCAAACAGCGCGATAAGCAGCGGATTTTTCTGTAGACATTCCATGAAATCATCCTTGCTGACATAGACATCAGCATCAGTATCAAACAGTTGACGTAGCTGCAAAAGTGACGGGTTGACAATCAGTACTTATAAAACATAGTAGTAGAAATAAACCAAGTATCAAACAGTACAGAAACTCACGGTTTCACTGTTGACTGCACCATGCGATGTTGACTGAATGACACGGCCGATCTACAGCGAAGATGCAACCAGATTATCATAAATTAGAATGAAACCAGGAAGCATGTGCATGAAAAATACCTGTTCCAAGGAAGTATGATCCATCGTATCATCACTGCTGCATTGAGCAAAAGCCGTTTCACAGGCCCTCCAAAATGATGGTTGTTTCCTAATCTGTGCTGATCCAGTCAAAAACTGCAGAGATTGAGCACAAAACTCTCAAATTAGTAGCAGCATACTTTTTGAATGCAAACTTCCAATACAACTATATATATATATATATATATATTTTTTTTAATTTATTAAGAGCTTAATGATAGCCCAATTATTACCTGACGAAATGTTATTGACCGCTTCTTTTCCAAGTCCAAATATCCAAATATCTGAAAAGGAATGAAATCAGCCCAAGCCAAATTTCTTTCTTTATGGAAGAAATATCTGAAAAGGACATATACAGTTGACTTCCTCCAACTGTATATAGTTGACTTCCTCCAACACAGTAGAAATGAGAGCTAATGATTGACAAAAGCCTAATGCTTTCTTCCAACTTCACCAAGAAAAAAGGCTCCACTCTTGAAACTAGAATGTATGAATGATGGAGAAGGAAAAGCAAAAGCTGTTCATCAAGAAGAAAATAAATTATAAGACAGCAGCACTCTCAGCTGCTTTTGTTTATTATCATCACCTATTACAAACTCATGCTCTCAACACCAAGTGGTCTAATCCTACTTTGACTCAACACGAAAATCAAGTTCAGTTTATGAATAAACTCCTAATCCAAGTTCTAATATTCCAACACGTAGCCAACAAACAGGTGCACGATTATAACATCTGTAACACTCATTTTCCTCCAATACACTTTCTATTTAAAAGAACTGATAGATGTAATATAGGCTCAACCAAACATTACAAGATTGGACTCTATGTTAAAGTAGACAATTGTACAAATCATCTGAGAAGTTAATTCTTTTGCAAGATAAAAAGGAAGCATGAGAAGTATGACTAACCTTCTCAGATAGAGGACTGCACCCCAACCCATAAGCATTCAGAAATCCATGAAGTTCAACACGTCCACTGCCACCAACCATATTACAAGATCATATAAAATTTTCATCCTAAACCTTTGGTAACAAGTTAAAGCATCATGGTTTCCCAAATAAATGTCATATGGCAAGAATCAAAATTTAGACTACTGATCAACATGCCAATCCAGTATATGACAACATCTGGCATAAGCTCTAAGATAGGCCAACACTGATACAGTCTTGGCTAGCATACGATTTGGGCTACCATCCCAAGCATGTGCAATCCATGATCCAGAGAAACTATTTCAACATGAAATTTGAGATTTGTCTGAGACTTACAAGGAATCTGGGTTCATGGAAAGAAACCGCTCCAAAATGACCACAGCTTCAGATGTGCTTATGTTGAATGACTGCATATGAAAAAAGTAAACAAAATTAAGAAAAAGATCATCAGAGAGACACACTAAAGCCAAGCAATCCATCTTCCCTTAAGTTAGCATATCCAGTTGGCACGCATTGGAATTAAGTACTGTTTTGGTATACCCCACAGCATGTTGGTGCATTGTATGCTGCCCATTGTGGATCAGCATGACCAGCACTTGCAAATAACAATATTAATCCAACTGCTTAATATGCACTGTGTAACATTTTAATTATGTCCTGCAGTGAAGCTTGGCATACGAACAAAATTGCATTTTGCTTCAGATAAGTATGAAATTCTCCAGCACTTAAAAACATGAGTTTTGTCATTAAGTTCTTCAAAAACATAGTTATAGAATATAAATAAAGCACATATTATGATAAACATTCTATAAATAAAGCACATATAATGATAAACAAATAAGCGCTAAGAGTAGTACCATATCGCCGTTTAAGATGTTTCAGTTAGATCAACTTTTGGTCATTAACATCTGTCAGTGCTAGGAGCACAATAACATGTTTACATAGAAAATCCATGCTTATATTTTGCACTTTTAGTTTTAATCATGTAGATATGTTGCTATTCACTATTACTTTTCTATAAGTTGTAAGACTTAATGAATGAATAGTAATCATTTCATCATCAATGGATGATAGTTGCATCGAGAGGCTAGATTACATATATGCAGATGGAGAACTCACATTTTCAACCCATGCCATTTCAACCATATAATTTGAGCATCTCTCCTGCGAATGAAGATCAAAGCTATAAGAGAAAATGATGACATAAAAGCATCTTTCCTGAGCAGCATTTAGAAAATGGTCTACAATTGCAACCAATTCTCTAATAGATCCATATTGTTTATGTAAAAGTGCCCTAAAATTTTAACATAAAGCAATGGAAGTTTTATCAACTCTCACTTTTTCCTTGGGAATATGCAACAGTAAACATATGTTATAGGCACGGTATGGCCTCCAAGAATAATAGCTTGACAGTTTGGATAAAAAAGTTAAAGATATGCGATATATATGCTAATATGAATCTACTAATGTATGCAATAAAACATATACTCTAGAGTCTAGACTAACAAGAACAATATTGCATAAGAAAACTAGCCATAGAATACACTCGTAACAAGACCACTAGTTCACAATAAATAGGTACAGCATGGAAAAAAAAGCATATGATCAGCGAGTGCAATTTCTGCCAGCATCTCAATGTTGACCTGGGGAGAAAATTGCTGATCAAACTTTATCGTGTCAAGTTTAGGTTGAGCTCACAAGCAATACCCCGTGTACACATTATTCTATGGAAAGAGAAGCAAAAATTAAGTGTGGGTATCCTGCGGTGTTAGCTCGTGCTTCGTGTGTCAAGAATTTACTCTTATCGTTGCTTGAAGATTACAAATACTACAGAGTTCAGCTAAGATAGAACTGGTCTAGGGCAGTTTGGTTATATGTGCTGTGTGCATATATTTTTCTAGTGCATCTGTCAATCATAGTTATTTTATGACACTAGTTCTGTATCAAGGTTACCAAATTACACTTTTTAGCATAAAATTAGCCAGAACAGTCCATAAACTCCAAATTGAAGCAAATCTCTGTTTTTTGTGAATGAATATGACACTTTCAAACCGAAAGAAACTAAAGGAATATATATGGAGTTGACAGATACGACGGTCTAATTCCAGAGTAAGATGGCCTGTTGATTTATACCAAATTCGGTTATCAATATTTCAAGATTAAAGATGGTCAAACAATCAGTTGAGTTCAAATCATGACAATTTTACACCTCAGACAAATCTATCTGCACAAGGTGACTGGATTCCGTATAGATTATCTGAACATTGTTTACAGGGCAGCTGAATTGATAATTAAGAGAATATCACGGTTTTATTAGCAGAATTTTATATTCATATTTGAGGGCCAGGTCAATGCTAGTGCCTGTGTAGCAAATTTTATATTGCATAACTCATCATCTTTAAATGGTGACAGCAATAATCTAGAAAGAGAAAAAGAAACAATTAAGAAGCAATAGGTTCATATCAGATAGCAATGAAGTACTTCATCAATTGTAAATATTGTTATAAATGTGGAGGCTTGAATTATATCTTCAGTATCTTTTTGACCCAGTGTTGTTTTTTCTCATGAATTAGGCAGCCTAAAATCAAGGTTTCAAATAGCAATCCGACGCCGGATGTGAACAACTTGTCAAACCATTGAAATACTAAGATTCTGAGCAGTATTATATAATATGTATTGTCTGGTATCAATCGACAAAGAATAATATAAAAAATTAACAGTGTATCAAGCAATCCTAAGTGGTATGCTCCATTACCTATGCTTATTAAACCAGTAAATATTAGTCTTATGTACCGGTCCAACAGGTATTTGAAACCATGGTCTAAATATAGTATGCATCATGAACAATAAAAATGGACATAAAACAGGAAGACTCGTTCCTTGATAAAATAAGCAAATATTCTTCACCTTTGCAAGTTCGGATGCTCTTGTAAGAAGTATCATGTCACCAAAAGAATGAGACGTCGGTAGAACATTAAGTGCATTGGCCATGGAGTAGCTAGTCTGCAGATTTTTTTTTTCCAAAAACATGTTAGTTTTACCCTTCTTTTTGTCCAAAAACAGCATGTTAGTGCATATTACACATGATTACAGGTGCCAACTGGTTGTCTCCATGTCAGGTTGAGATGCACATAATAAAACAAAACCCTAAATCAAGACCCGTCTTGTTATAATTATGTCAAATTCAATCCCAATCCCAACCTACCTAGTACTTGTGTGAATCCATGCAACCTGCTTAACTTGTATGATTGGGTATCACTCCACAATTGAACTGTTCTCTAGTTTGAGGAAAATAGACCTTTAAGGGAACTAATACTGACTGATGTTAAATATATTAAAATAAAGACATCCCTTTGGCTTGTAAATGTGTTGCTTGAAATCGAACACGTATCAGGTGAGGATATGGATCTCAACTTGACATTGTTGCTCTAAGTTGGATCTGGGAATACAGGTGTGGATCTCAACACACATATACTTATATGATAATTTAGCATCTTTTTATTAATGTTCTAAACTATTTCAAAACTTAAATAATTATATTTTCTAAAGCTAGTAGAATGTCAGGATTCTAAGGTCCCTCTGACAGGCATCACCGAATAGCACCTTTGTGAAATAAAATGCACCAGATATATCTCACTCATAGACCCTCTTGCCCTCTTCTACTCCACCAGTATGTGCATCAGGTGCCTGCTATCTTTTCAACTAGGATAAACAGAGGAATTTCTATCCATTTCCCACTTGAAATATCCGAAGGTTATTCATGTCGAATCTAGGGTTGCAATGAAGATGGCTGAGCAAGGCTCTGATTAGGCATGACTCAACTTGTTCTCATGGTTCTCAAGCTGGGTCAAGAGCCTGAAATGATATTTGAACTTGCCTGAAGCTCAAGCTAAGCTCAGCCAACCTACACTCAGATTGTTCTAGAAACAAGCTAAAATTTTTCTTTTGTGATAGATTTACTTTCTACGGAGACATTTGTGCTTACCTTAAAGACTATTTGTGCTTGTATGATGTATGTGCAGCATTTACATAGTCCTCACCTCATATATTTTGAGTCAAATCCTTGTCTTATCCGGCTTTCTTTCCCTTGGGACAAATTCTTGTCCAATCCATGTGTACATAAGATTTAGGTGTTGTACAAGAGAGAGAACCCTTAATTTCATATGAAAAGGACTCAAGTCCTTTCCTTCTTTTCATATTATTCTTGTCTGATCCGGCCGTCTATCCTTCATCATAATGAAGTTGCTTCTCCAGGACCAAGGTGACTTCATTTAGCTCTGGTAAGTTATATGGATCCTTTTCTATCATTTGGCTCTTTCAGAGAAACTTCCTCAGCAGACAAGGGAGCCTCAAGTGGTATTCAGTTAAGGTCAACAATAGCTTTCATCAATATGAGAAAACCATCTTATCTCTCTTTGTTCTGATCAACAATACAGAAAAAACTTCACACCCGCAAGAAGGTTTTTCTTATTTTTGGTGCGGCAGCTTGCTTGTCAAATATTACATAACTTCAAGAGCAGGAACTAAAACAAATACCAAATGCACTTACACTATATATATATATATATATATATATATATATATATATATGTATGAAATACATGTCATCTTTAGGAAGCTAGCTTTTAGAAAATCTAGCAAGAACTCATTAATGATTCAAAATTTGCTAAATAGATGACTTTCCAGGTTCAGATTTTCTCCTTCACTTCTCTTCTTCTGTTTTGCACAATTACATTATAACAACCACAACTTGAGGGAAAAAAGATATCATTTGCTGGATATAAAAATTTTGAGATTGAATAATCGATGAGGAAAATAGCACACTTCTTATCTATAGTCCATCATAAAAAAGGGTCACAATCATAATGTGGTTCTGATATAAGCATGAGAAGAATAGTGGGCTTCTTCAATTTTTCATGATCGATTTCCATCTTAACATCAAAAGCATTTTCCTTTATCTAAATCTAAAACTTTAGCAATAATATATATGAGATGGCACATATAGAAGATTAAGTATACAATACTATTCATGATAAGAGAAATTAGAAATCTTAGCATCAAAGGGGAACAAAGTACTATAAAGATAATCATTATTTAACTAAGCACGCTACTGATTTGCAGAAATTGTGAACTAACATATATAAATAAAAAGTTACATTTTAGAAGAAAATATAACAAGTGAGACTGCAGCATGTTTCGACAGATTTATTGATGAATAATATGCTCACCCTCTCTGCAAAATGAACAGTGTTTTGTTGTTTGCTCTCATCTGGGAAGACCACAGGAAGGTATTCCACCTGTCAAGTGAAAAAATGAAATTCTTGTTACAAAATATATTAGTTCAGCAAATTCATCAAATATGTTAATCTGAAATTATCAAAATCCTCTCCTGTATAACAAAAGGCTGGTTTTGGGATTCATTTTTCTGCTGAGTTAGGCTTGGCCTTGGATTAAAAATACACTACATGCATTAATGTCAACATGTATTCAACAACAGAAGTAAGCTACTCTTTTACTTACCCTGCACAAGATAACAAGTCATATAACAAGTAGAATATATTTTATTGATGAAGAATTAAGGTTTTCTACTTCTGAATGCAATATGTGATTATGTGGCAAGAATAAAGAAAGTTCATTTACTTTAGCGATCATAACACAAATAATATTCAATAAAAATGTGAACTTAAGAAGTAAGCTAACTAAATACAACATTATGATATAATCAACTTTTGGCACAAAAACAGTGTAAAGCCTAACATATATTTTCAGGTCAAATCATACCTCCATGAAGTTGTGAAACTGTGTGAACATTCTAAACATGAGCTTCAGCAAATTAGCATTCCCCCTAAATAAAATGACATCAGATGTAATACAAAAAAGGACTAATAAGAAAGATATCACAAGTAAAATTCTCACCAAGATTGGTCAAAATGTATGTATGGATATCGAACAACCACAGGTTGTACCGGGAGGCCTGGAATGAATGCACCAAGCCGAAATGATATGAGGAATCTCCCATTTGTAGTGGTCCCCTCCGGAAATAGCATAACACGTGGAAATTCATTGGAAGACGCCTTTCTCTGAATTCATGTCCTAGAAAGCATGTTTCTGTATCAAATAGCTAATGAATGGATTTTATTTTGTTTAATGCTTCTTAACAGGCAAACTCTTAAAGTTTAGTCTTCTTTCTATCCACGAACTGATGAGAAAAGTAAATATACGATGAAAGATCTTCAAAAGAAAAATGCAAAGCAAATCAAATATAATAAAAAATGATCAACAAGACATTTACAGGCAATTATCTAGAAATCAACTCGAAATAGAGAATATCATACATCAAATAGTAAACCAAAATAATATATATTACATATCAATCTCTCACAACTAACAAAATGGATAAAGACCCATTAATTAGTTATGCTCAATGAATTTGTTGTGTATTGATTGATCAATGCAACTAGAGGACCACTGAGCTTGAGATTGAATTCTAGGGAAAGAGAAACACCAATCCCATTTACAAATATCAGTCCAGTTTTAGCAGCACATTAGACGAGATTAGAAAGTTCTGTTATGTTATGGCTGATAAATTAATATGTTATGATGGTTGATATCTTCAATTGATTGGACCATTAGCATTTCAGTAAGCCATGACTCTGCCAGATTAGCTTAGTCAGCACTTGCTTCATTAGAATTGAGTTAGTTACTCAAAGCGGGTGTAGAATGCAATTTATCACCTAAATTGCCTTAACCATCAATTATTCACCCATAAGAATGTAGGAACCATCACAGAGGGATGACTGGGGACAGTGCTGGAGCCGAAGATCATGCTATTTAAACATTGGTCATCCAGATTAGAGGTTCAGCCAAGGCACCCATCTCTTGAAACTTCTCTAATTGCTAACTAAGCCCCCAAAAAGACAGTGCTTACATGGACTCAAACTAAAAACCGAATAGCATCTTTATGCCTCTTTCCTGATCCAAAAAAATCCCCTTATTGGTAATTGGATGATCTATGAAAAGCATTAATTCCATCAACTTGTAAGGATGAAAGAAGCAAAATGTTGATTATATAATTATAGGGAAGGGACACAGAAGATAAGACAAGATATGCATGTGCTTTAGAAAACCACATGATCCGCCCTTAATTTTCCTAGAAGGATAGTAAGAGTTAGAATATGTACCGAAGAATAAAAAATAAAAGGAACATAAATCAGGCAATCTTAAGATGTATCCAGATTAAAATATAGTGAGTCATAATGCTAAAAATTCATATTTTAGATCAAGAAAAAACCATCCTGAAGTGAATATCACATAAAATGTTCATAGCTTTTCCTTGTGCTATTATGCAAGCATCCTAAATTAGCATTAACCACGGCTCCAAATTTGATGGACATATTCAAGAATTCGTCTTTTGAAAGACAGCCTTCAAACACCAAAAATAATCAGAAATAATTATGAATTGTACTAGAAGGGAAAATACATATATTCAGCTCGCAAACTTGTAAACTTGTAAGTTTTCTACAAAGCACACGATATTTAACTTTGATTTTTGAATGACCACATCACCACGGCAACCGACATTATTAATGATATGCTCTATGCTCAATTTTCTTATCTACATATGCAAAAAAAATGTTACTTTGACAGTTTACTAACAGATAGACCACATCTCACAATTAGCTAAAAAGTATATCTTTAGTAGGGTGATATAAGTTAAACCCAATATAGCTCATTATCTTGATAAAAAGTATGACTGCGCAAGACAGATAGTTCTTGAGTTAAGAATTGACTGCATCACTCAACAAGTTCCAAAACCATTATACCTTTATTTCATGAATTGCGAGCCTCCGCGACTGAGGTGAGAACCTGTCAACATATATAACCTACGAAGCATGTTAACGTAAAATGTTTCGATCAGACTACATTGTCATAACATATAAAAAAATAGAAAAATCAGATAAATAGAACTAATAATTTTTCTATATAAAAAATTCCACTCAAGAAAGTGACAGGTCCACCTGCATTGCTCTGACAATAGTTCCAACAAAGGGTAACGCATCATGTGACTCGGAAGCAACCATAGTTGGAAATAATTCATAGAAGAAGAATATGGGCTCGATGTATGAGACATGATTACAAACAACTATAGGTGCAATCTCCCTTGAAGCAGGTTTTCCTTTTCGTTTGATCCAATGGTATCTGACAAAATAGAAGCCATAGAAACAGGTGCTTATAAGCTATAAAAACAAACATTTACAAAGGATAAATGAAATTGATAATATAGATTACATGTTAACTTGAAAAGAGGACAAACTCCATGCAAAGATTCCTTGCAAAGAATACAACAATTACAGGAGACATCCTAGAAAGCAAGCTACCATTAAAAAGCAACCAGGATATTTGATGTTAGTGGTCCATTTATGAAACAAAAGTTGATGATCAGTGTTTGCATGGGGAACCACATAGTTCGAGATACTCATCTTTTGGTGCATCAACAACGCAGGAGAATATAGAAAAAAAGAAACAGAACATGCTCGGGCTCATGAACTAATAATTCTCATATTTACTACTACATGTAATCGGAACAGATTTATCATCGTCAAAATTTGATGTGCGTTTCTTGATGAAGCGTTGACGAACATGCTTTACGATTATTCACTTGTTTTATTTTTTGAAAAGTACTTTTCACGTCTACTAAAACCAAGAACCAAGAAACCCAATTGACATTCTTGACGACTTCGGCATCAAGAAGTACGAACCAAGAAACCAGGAAACCCTATTGATATTTTTTACGACTATTAGCATCAAAAACCGATCAAGAACCACGAAAACCCAGTCGCACACAACTATTAGCACCAAGGACCAAGAACTGAGAAACCCTATTGCACTACCGTGTAAATGATCTTTTTCCGATTTGTCTATGGAGAATATGCTACAAATTCCGACTCGCCCGGATCGTCGTCAGCTAATAATTCGGATTACGACGGAAATGAAACAGAAATCAGTCGAGATTACCCAAAAGAAAAGAGGATGCATCGGGCGCAGAGTCTGGTGATCCACATGGCACGGCACCGCCACAGAGGCATGGGGCTCTGCTTGTCCTTCCACCCGCACAGCGCCGCCACCGTCGCCAAGTACCCCACCGCGATCACGATCCCGAAGAGCACGAGCCGAACGGCTGCGATCGGCAGGCAGAGGATCGTCTTGCACCACTCGTAGAGCCCGGCGATGGTGGGCGTGTGGTTGCGGAACGGGTCAACGGGGCTCATCGGCGGCAGGGCCAGCGGCGGCACGCCCAAGAACTCGAAGGGGTTTTCCGGAGGCGTGGTCGCCGCCTCGCTCCCTCGGTCGATGAAGCCATTGACGTCCAGGGAGACTTCCGGGGCGCGATCGTGAAGGAGGGGAGAGTTAAGATCGCAATTAGGATCCGCCATGGGGTAAAGAGGAGGAGGAGGAGGAGGAGGAGATCTTGAGGAGGAGTAGGGGGCGAGGAGAAGGCGCACCCGATGGGGTGGGGTGGGGGTGACAAGGTCGCGACATCGACCTCCACCAAAATAAAACGAGAGGTGGGAAAGAGGCAAGGCGGGGAAAATGGAAACTAATAAGGATCACCTGACCCCGACGCGGCAGGGAACACCGGTTCGACGTCTGATCCGTTTTTCTTCGTGGGGCCCACCGAGATCGTGAGGAGGCGATCTCCGCGTTTCCTGCTCGTGCGCGACAGGCGCGCTCGGGCGCCTCGACGGGAATGCAATAGGTTTTCGGGACGTGGATATCGGACGCGCCGGCCCCGGGCATCCCCCGTCTCCGACGCAACAGGAAACAGGAACGAGATCTGCGTTGCCTGATACGGACAGGACAGGGGATCCTCGAACAATCATGTGCACCGTACCGCGTCGGTTATTTTGAAGACGCGCGAACACCGCACTCGGATCTGACCTGTTATTTTAAGCGCGCAGGGGGAAGGCGCGAGGACGGTGCGGGTTGGACCAGCTGCAATGCGGCTCCCCGTACGACGATTGGCGGGCTAAGAAGGGTCCCGCATGGGTCCCACGCGAATGTTCGGGTGACGACGGTGGGTTTCTAATTTCTTAATGGAAAACACCTGCCGCCATTTCTCCGCAGCCGATCAAAACCCACAAAAATCCATCGGCGATCGAGACACCCCGACACGACGCACCCGTTCGACGTACCCAGACACAGGTCCGACGACTCCCCTCGCTTTCCTCGGTTTTGGGTTTCCGAGTCGGTCCACGGCAGGCCACGACGGTGGGTCCCACTTCTTCGTCTTTTCGACCTTTTTCTCAATTTCGATCATATCTTTATCTTTTCCTTTTTGCGTTTTGCTTTTTTGTGTTTGGTGTTAAGTCGCGGTTGACTGATTGCAAAGTTGGAAAGCTTCCGACTGTCGACAGATATCATTCTTATCACAAAAGTATCATCACCTCTATAAACAAAAAATATATATCATTTTTATTATCAAATAAAAATAATTATTTTATTTTTAAAATTTAATGAATAGTGATAAGGGACAATTTGGTCGATGATTATTAGTGTGGCCCGTAGGTTCGCAAAGAATTATCTGTTTTGAACGATGAGCGTATCCATACGGTTTTATCTTTTCGAAACATATGAACATAAAAAAAAAAAACATGACAAGGAATACCAATTATTTTTTATTTACGTATGTGGTTTCAAAATAAAATATAAAAAATAAATCTGATTGCTTATAGTATATTGCATTACAATGTGATATGTGTCGGTGAAGTAATAACTTTAATGCATGACCCTCATGCGAGTAATATGGCATGACATCGGGAAGGGTATTAGAATTATCAATCAATTATGAAGAAAATGTGGTCCTTCGAATCTGTAATAAAATGTGGCCGTAAGAAATTAATGTTCGTATTTATTGAATGATTTCCAAGTTCGGATCTCAAATATTAATGATGCACTTCCAGATTGAATGGATGGGGAAATCGGTAGAGATTCTTGTCATCAAAGCTGCTCAAATTAATGGCATGTGAAGCATATGCTTTCCCTGTAGAAATAGTATCAGCCAGGTTGGCAACTTATAGATATATATGATAGATATGATGAAGGACATGTTACTACTACAACTACTACTAAACAAATCTTCTCTCCTAAGCTCCGAGATCTATCCTCATAAATAAATATTCTCAAAATAAAGATCATCCAAAGATAACTAATCTGAAGTGTTGGAATACGTGTAGGCATTTTATCCTAGTCAAAAGGCTCATTATAATCCTTAACAAGGATAAAGATTTTGGATTAACCTTATTCTCACTAAATAAATATATCTATCATTCTTCTTCTTCTTGATCCTAGAAAAAAAATATTATCTTGTTATCGTGATCTCTTCGGATAGGCTTAAGAAAGCTACTTACGATAGGATGTCTTATGTTAGTGAGTAAATGTGACGTGGCTGATGAGTCAGCACGGCTCGGTCCACAGGTCGACGTCGGGAGTTCTCTATCGGTTGAGTTGGACGCCGAGGTAGGCCGGGCCCTCACGACAGGGTGTTGATCAGTGTTTCTCGGTTCGGGCGTCGTCTGCGTCGAGTAGCATCTCTCTATTCCCGAGTTGGTTGGCAGCTCGCCTTCATTCACTAGATGGCAATTCCCAGGTCGAGGCACTCATGGCTCGGGGGTGATCGCTTGCTTGCAAAAATGGCCTTTGTCTGGTAGTTCCCAACTTTGGCTCCCCCCGGCCGGATGTCGGCCATGGGCTTTTATATTATTGTACGAGGGTCGGTTGCACACGAGTTCCGCGTGGCCCATGATTTTCAAGAGTTGAGATGGCACTTCTGATCGGTCGCCATCTCGGGACGCATGGAGCGGCGTCAGACGGCACCGCCTCAGGTTCCAAGGACAGGACATGTCGAACAGCATCTCTATACGGATTCTGACTAGGCGTGTGGGGGTGTTCCCCTTGCTGACTCGGTACGGATTCTCGGGTTGGCATGGTAGTACGCGGGTCAAACAACGCTTTAGTACGAATTCTTACCTGACGTGTGACATCGATTGTGACGTATCTTGGATCCAAAATATACCTTATCAGCTTATAAATATTTAGTATCCCTCGGAAAATGATTTATCTTTCACCTAAATCTTGTGATTTTGATGAAAGCTATCTACATTCCACTTTCCCCCAAAGATAATAAATGACTTGCTAGTATACAAAGACTTGACAAGAGTAAGGACGGTGACATGGAAGCTTACTATAGCTCTCGGAATCAAATTCTTTGTTTGAAAACTCTTATGGATTGTCTCGTCACTTATGCATGACTCGTTAAACTAATAGGTTGTATCTTCTTTCTTTGTGTGTTTTTCTGTCATTCTCATGTTGACTCTTATCTTCCATATATTCTATCAACGTTTATTTGTAGTTTTCTTCTCTCATTAGCTTAGTTAAAAGAGGGTCATGACTTGATAATTCCTTTTGGGTCTTTTAGAATATGGTAGTTTAAAATAATCATATTGATTGTCGCTATCATTATCGTCGTATCCATATTGAGTTTAGTTGAATTCAGTCCATACGTAAGATTGGATTCATTGATTTGGATATTGAGTTTAAATTTGATTTATTAAAATAAAAAAAGGAAGTGGAGATGTGCGTGAGAACGGAGGAGTAAATTTTATCGATTTTGGTCCAAATTTTATGTAAAGAATCCTTGAAACAAGTTCTATAATCTTAATGGTACCGATCTACAGTTTATCCTCTCTGAAATATCTTTTTACCATATCTACTTAGTGAGACTTAAATTTTTTCTATCATCAAATTCATTTACGATGATGATGATATGTTATTGTTGAGTCAAGATCTGTATTCTTGTTATTATTATGATCCTCTAGTTTTTCTAAAGAAGACTTATTATAAATCAATTATCATTATCGATGATAGTAAAAGTTTGAAATAAACTATGATCACGTAGTTTTTCTTTGTTGGATTTTTCACGTAAAAATTTGGTGTCTCATTTTGTGATTGATTTATTATTCTATTATTTACGTTATTCTAATTAATATTTATTTTTAATAATAAGTTGATATTTTAATGAGAAACATATTTTGATACCCATAGAGAATGAAAAAAAATATATTTTACTATAATAATCTTTTCCAACATGTAGTAGAGAACTCGAAATAAGAAAGATGAATGAAACGCGATAAATGAATAGGTTTCGTCCCATCCAAAGAGACGCAATTTGCACTCCGTTGACAAGCGTTCTGCACGAGCCAACCTTGCCTTGTTACTGCTGCGGTCGGCCGGCAGATTCCCGGCGTTCCTCTTGGAAGTCATGCGGCCAGGGGATCAAACTCTGCAGAGGAAAGCAGCAGTCGCATTCCGCCTTGCACCGTCGCGGCCGGTCTGTCGGGAACGGCGGCTGTGCCTCCCCGGCCTTGCTCCTCCCGGCCGAGGCCGCGTCTCGGAGCGGCCCCCAGCACTCCACCCGGTTGAACTCGGGGAGGTTGGAGTGGAAGTAGACCCACACCATTGCCTCCTCCAGCTCCGTGTAGTCGTTGAACAGCGCCTCGTCGCCATGAACGAACGCCTTCAGTACCTTGCCACCGCCATTCCGTCGTCAGAGACGTCGGAGGAATTAGCATGAATGAGCGGATGCGTGCGTATGCATACATACCACTGGGAGTTCATCGCAGAAGATGTAGTAACGGAGGCTGGCGACGAGGTCGAGGAGGAAATGGCCGCCACTGATGTGGCAATGGACGTGGAGGGACATCTTTCCTTGGACCTTGTTCCACTCGGCCACCACCTCGTCCCTCTGCAGCCGGTTGCACCAGCCCTGCAGCTGCTCGAGATCAGGAACAGGGGAGATAAGCGTGCCCTTCGTCAGAGCCGTTCACGTTACGTAAAGCTTGACGATGGTACCTGAGCGCGGTTGATGGTGTGGGAGATGGCGAGGGTGAGCTTGGAGGTGAGATCGCTGTGGGTGAGAGTGTAGGCCCTGGGGAGCTTCCCGGGGTGCTTCGCCTTGTCCACCCCCAAGAAGAGCACCTTCAGCTTGGAAGCCTCGAATATGGCCGGCCCAAACAGCCTCGCAGCCTAAGCGCAAGTACCAGCATGCAGCACATGAGATCGATCGATCGATCGAACGAACAAAAGTAATGTATGCTTCGTATCTTGATGATCTCAAAACGTACCGGAACCATGGAGACCATGGAGAGACTTCCTCTTCTCCGCCTGCTGAAGACGAACAAGGGACTTCCTCGCTGAACAGGCAGCGGAAGCATAGCAGCTACGAAAGCCATGACAACACAGAGTAGTAGGAAGAGTTGGAGCAGAGCTGAAACGAAATGGCCTTTGCACTCTGTTTCCCTCGTACTTAAACTTCCGAGGGATTTGGATGGACAAGTGCGTCCTCTCGCCGTAAGGTTGCCTACGGGAAGAAGTAGGTGACCTGTTCCGAGTGTGGTGTGTAAGCAAGGGAGAGCAAAGGCAGGAGGAGAAGGAAGCGTGTGGGAATCGTGATGGCTTGGGAGTCGATCTTCCCTTGGAGTAGCTCTCTCTATCTTCACGAAGACGAAGATTAGCCACCGCGCTGCTATAACACGTACGTGGTAGGCACAGCCATGGAAGAACACAGGAGATATTTTCAGCTGCACGTCGATAGTCAGTCAGATTTTCTTATTTATTCTCTTAAATTATAATTTTTTTTATTTTTTTATAAAAATAAATCGAAAATATTTCATTGTATCCATATAAAACTTCTAATTTACACTAATATATTAGTAAAACACATTAATAAGCTTATATATATATATATATATATAATAATAATAATAATAATAATAATAATAATAAAAGAGCCCCTAGTATAAAAGAACCGTGAAAGCTATCGTCCCTGTCCCCAATAAAGACATTTACAGGTGAGTTTGAAGTAGGTGGCTTGGACATGACACAGCAATACAGAAAGGACGGATAATTAATTTTTGATTGCTTGTTGGATCCCCAAGGGGGATTTTGAGTTTCGTGGGGCCCCGAGGAGACAAAGGGTCCAAGCTACACAAGCATTAGGAATCGCAAGTGAAGGTCTGAGACTGCAGCTCCGTAGTGGGGGCGGGGGGGAGGATGGGATGGGAGAGAAGAGACGGATCCATCATCTTCAACTGCTGCTTCACAATGCTATAGCTTGGACTGTGGTTTCCAGGGACATCCACCTTCAAATGCTTGCTCCAGCACGTCCTCGATGCGCTTCACAAGTAATATCTGCAACCACCGACCGCACAAATCGTTATGCAAAGTTGCAGTCTGACTCTACCGGACGACCAAACTGCTTTAGACCGAAGAAATTATGCTGGAACATAAGTATGTGAAATTAAAGTTTCTTCCCAAAAGAAATAATGAAGAATTAACTCAATGGCCGAGAAGAACATGAGTTCAAAAGAAAATCATTAGTTACTAAGAGAGAAAGATAAGCATGTGAAGCATATATTTCACATGAAGTAAGTTGTGTGAAATATATCAAACACAAGAAAAATGTAATCTCACAAAAGAAACCCACTGCTTGTCATAAAATTTAAGATATAGAAAATCAAAGGATGATATCCAATCCGCACAATGTAGCATCAGAGAAGGTTAGGCACAAGACAACCGTTTGAATGCAAGTGTAATTACCTCCATGCCAGCAAGAATCGCTGATGGAACCTCAGCTAAGTCCTTCAAATTTCTCTCGGGCAATATAACTCGTCTGATACCATATCGATGTGCCGCCAGTACCTTAATTCAGAAATATGATATCAATATATTTTCCATAAATAAGCTCATGCTAAGAGAAGTCAATTTTTCATTTACCAACAAGGAAAATAATGAAAGTTAGAAAAGAAGGATTTTTTTTACTTCCTTTTGGTGAGTGTTCCAAATATAAGGAAAAAAAGAGGGGCATATAGACATTGTAGCACCTACCTTATCCTTGATACCGCCAACAGGTAATACAAGGCCTCTGAGTGTCATCTCCCCTGTCATTGCAGTATCTGCTCTAACTTTCTTTTGACTAAACAGTGAGACTAAGGATGTCACAAGAGTTACTCCGGCTGATGGTCCATCTTTTGGCACAGCACCAGCGGGAAAATGTATATGAATATCTCGGTTCTCAAGCAAATTGGTTTCGCCGGCTGCTGACAATTTGAGATCTGCGGTTCTTGCCCTCACCTGTTCATGTAGAAAACAAGATATTATCTATATGGTCTTAGATGCCTACTACAATCCTTTTTGATCTACTCATGTGCACGGATTTCAGGAATGGAATGTCATAAAGGATTATGACGTCTCATTCCACCATTCGAAAATGTCAAGTTTGGTGTAGCACAAATGTACTGAGCAGAAGACATGTTTCTCTCTTGACTTAATAACACCTTGATGATTGAACCACATGCTGAACCATCGGATAGTTTAAAGAAATATAAGTTAGCGCTAACCTATGATCTGTATCCTAGCATAAATAGAAGCGCATCAATGCTTATCTACAGTGACAGTGCCATGTTCCATCCCATAGCACAGGTTACCCAAAGGAGACAAGAAGAAAGAAACTAAACAATAAAAAACCAGGAAGTTCCTCGGAAGAAAAAGGTATACAAGAAAATAACTTTGCTTGCTCTTAGGTACCATGCCCGGAGTTCAGGTTCGATGTTATACTCAGTTTGACAAATGCTAATTCTCTGGTGTATGTACACACCTAGTTCTATTGGGCATATTCCTCAAGCATACCAATCAAAATCTCATTATCAATGAAAACATAAAATAAAACAAATGAATACCAGTACTATGCTACATGGTCCTCCGATGGTCCTTGGTCGGTATTTAAAATCTTGGCTGTGGTAGAACCAATAAAGATAACTTAATTTGAAAAACCTTGAAGCCTGTTGCAATTCTCATAAAGTTCTATATTACTCCATATGCATCATAACTTTGATATTGAGATGCACGGGGGAGTTAAAGTGCACTTTACTTGACAATTTAATAGCAATTTGCATAAAATGGTCCTGACAAGAATCTAAGGATGACATAATGGTAGTTCAATTTAAAAAAGATAAATGACAAGTAAAAAAACTCTATGAATTTTATTTTCAGGATACATAAGATTGGCTGAAGGATCAGACTAAAAGAATCTATATAAATAATATATCTAGGATATACTAATGCACAAGACCATAAGAACCAAGTGATCGAGCAAGAAAAGAAGTTCACAGAACTAAAAATCAGATGAGAGTTCAAGACATGAAAATTTTGCCAAGAAGATCAGCACCCAATATGAGAAGTGGTAAACAAATCAAAACAAAGGAAAATTACCCATGTGAGAGCTATTTGTGCTGATTCTTTAATAACATCCCCAAGCTGTCCTGTAAGATGCAAATCACCTTTCCCCACCATCGTTGTGGCTTCAACAAATTGAACCTCTCCACCAAAGGATGTCCAGACTAGCCCCACTGATACTCCAGGAGATGCTACACGGTCTGCAGTTTCTCTGTCATCAAATCTAGGGGGCTGCAATTTTTAGATAGACTATAGTTTAGTAAAATCTTTTTGACAAGTTTAACTATAGTAAAAATAATTATAGAAAGTTCCCTCAAATTAAGATATAAATGACTACCCCAAGCACTTTCTCCAGCATAGCCTCGTCTACAACCAGCGTCAAAGGACTTGCGAAAGCATTTGATATGTCCTGCCTGTTGATACTCATAGGAATAACTTCCATTTCAATGTCCGAACCATCAGCAAGTCTTGTGTCCAGCAAGGAAGTTGTCATTGGGTGCACATCTTTGCTAAGTTGAACCACACAATCTTTTTGCTCAGCAAGTTTGACAGCAGCTGCCCGAGCAAGGGCAGCTAGATTCCTTTCAAGATTACGCACACCAGCTTCTCTAGTATACCTCTGAATTATTAATTTCACCATGCCCTACTCAAAGTCATCAAAATCAACTTAATCAGTGACAAGAAATTGCTTATGGAAAAACTTAATTGCCAACATGGACAACCACTCTATGCATACAAACGATGCCTAGAGTCAGCCATTGGTAAAGAATAATAAATCATGATCAACAAGATGGCATGTGAAAGAAAAGGAATCATAATTGCCATCACTAACATCAAATCTTAGCAAACATATATATTTAAGAAAATATCTTCATAACTCTAAACAATGCTAGATAAGGAAGACAACCAAGAGTACATAGCAGAAAAGGCTGGCTGCATAAACATAGCCACTATTGATTAGAACATTTGGTAACTTAGTGTATCACAGAAACAAAGATATTTGACTCTGTGTGTATTGTTCAACTCCAATATATAGGAAAACAGACAGAAAGCACAAATGGCTCGCCAAAACCTCGTGCTTGGTTCAATGGAAATTCCAAATGTAATCAAGAATAAGTTGTTTCTTAACAAATCCATTCAAAAACACTTCCACTTTTAGCTTATCTGAGCCTGGAAGCCCCAAGATTTAAAAACTTTTAACATGGTTTTAACTGAATCCATGAAACATCAGGCTAAGCAAGAAACAAGGACATATAATCTTTAGTAATTAGTGTTCACCCACAAAAAATCAGACAAATACATTAGTTAATTCAATCAGCTGATAGCAGGGCAAATGCCTGAGAATTGTCAGAATTAGGCAACTTTCCTATAATGGCTGTGAATATTCATGCATTTCAGTTACATTTGGCTAATCTTGACAGAAAAGACAAAACACAACAGATCTTGACACCACAGAAGCTATTCCTTTGTAATAAACTCACACCAGTATGATCTGTGTCAGGCACATGTAATCCCTAAAAGAAAGTCCTGTTGTACTACTTTGAAAAACTTGATGAAGATGGGTTTTAGCAATTACACTTGGATCTGAGAGTGTAACAGAAAGGAAGCAGAAATTTATAAGCACCAAGGCATTTGTCAGAACTCCATCCATCAGTTGGTCTAAATTCCATTTCCAAAGAAAATATACAAATGGTCACAAACA